TGGGATTTCAGGGATGGATTTCTGGGATTTCAGGGATGGATGTTTGGGATTTCAGGGATGGATGTTTGGGATTTCAGGGATGGATGTTTGGGATTTCAGGGATGGATTTCTGGGATTTCAGGGATGGATTTCTGGGATTTCAGGGATGGATTTCTGGGATGTTTGGGATTTCAGGGATGGATTTCTGGGATTTCAGGGATGAGTTTTCCATGTTTTCCAGGCTGGAGCCAGTTGGCTGCCATGCACTGTGTGATGCTCCCGGAGCTGCTGGGGCTGGAGCGGTTCCGGCCGCCGCTGCTGGAGATGCTGCCTCGGGAACGGCAGGATCGCTGCCTGGAGGTGAGCTGGGAATTCTCTTCCCAAAGTTTTTATCTGGGAATGTTCCCTCGGGAACGGCGGGAATGGCGCTCAGGGCCCGTGGGGAACTGTTCCCAGTTCCCAGTGGAACTGTTTCCCAGTGTTCCCAGTTTGTTTGGGATGTTTCCCAGTCATTCCCAGTTTATTTGGATTATTTTCCAGTCATTCCCAGTTTATTGGGATGTTTCCCAGTGTTCCCAGTTTGTTTGGGATGTTTCCCAGTGCTCCCAGTTTGTTTGGGATGTTTCCCAGTGTTCCCAGTTCCTTTGGGAATGGTTCCCAGTGTTCCCAGTTCCTTTGGGAATGGTTCCCAGTGTTCCCAGTTCATGTGGGAATGGTTCCCAGTGTTCCCAGTTCCTTTGGGAATGGTTCCCAGTGTTCCCAGTTCATGTGGGAATGGTTCCCAGTGTTCCCAGTTCCTTTGGGAATGGTTCCCAGTGCTCCCAGTTCCTTTGGGAATGGTTCCCAGTGCTCCCAGTTCATTTGGGAATGGTTCCCAGTGTTCCCAGTTCCTTTGGGAATGGTTCCCAGTGCTCCCAGTTCCTTTGGGAATGGTTCCCAGTGCTCCCAGTTCCTTTGGGAATGGTTCCCAGTGCTCCCAGTTCCTTTGGGAATGGTTCCCAGTGTTCCCAGTTCCTTTGGGAATGGTTCCCAGTGTTCCCAGTTCCTTTGGGAATGGTTCCCAGTGCTCCCAGTTCCTTTGGGAATGGTTCCCAGTGCTCCCAGTTCCTTTGGGAATGGTTCCCAGTGTTCCCAGTTCCTTTGGGAATGGTTCCCAGTGTTCCCAGTTCCTTTGGGAATGGTTCCCAGTGCTCCCAGTTCCTTTGGGAATGGTTCCCAGTGCTCCCAGTTCCTTTGGGAATGGTTCCCAGTGCTCCCAGTTCCTTTGGGAATGGTTCCCAGTGTTCCCAGTTCCTTTGGGAATGGTTCCCAGTGTTCCCAGTTCCTTTGGGAATGGTTCCCAGTGTTCCCAGTTCCTTTGGGAATGGTTCCCAGTGTTCCCAGTTCCTTTGGGAATGGTTCCCAGTGTTCCCAGTTCATGTGGGAATGGTTCCCAGTGTTCCCAGTTCCTTTGGGAATGGTTCCCAGTGCTCCCAGTTCACGTGGGAATGGTTCCCAGTGCTCCCAGTTCCTTTGGGAATGGTTCCCAGTGTTCCCAGTTTAATTGGGATGTTTCCCAGTCAGGGCCCAGTTTATTCAGGAACGTTTCCCAGTGCTCCCAGTTCCCCAGGGATGATTCCCAGTCATTCCCAGGGATGATTCCCAGTGCTCCCAGTGTTCCCAGTTTAACCCCTTGCATGCACAGGTGCGGGAGGCGGCGCAGGCGCTGCTGCTGGCCGAGCTGCGCAGGATGGAGCAGCCCCAGGGATGGATCCCAGTGCTCCCAGTTCCCCAGGGATGGATCCCAGTGCTCCCAGTTCCCC